AAGGTGAATTCGCACCTGACGCGGAAACGAAATATTTCCCTGGCGGTCACTTGCGCGTCCTTGCGGCCTGTTGGTCCCTGTGATCATTTCATTGGCGTCACTCTCCCAACTTGGCAAAGTTCCGCGTCGGATCCCGAAGACGCGTAACTCGCGTGCGGTCGCGTCAAGAGGCGGAGAGGTGTTGGAAAAAAGGAACAGGAGGAGGTGGAGGAGGAAGATGAAGGAGAAGAAGAAGATCGTATCGATAATGTAATAGAGGCCGTCCCGGGCTGTTATCGGGAGAAATATGTTTCCAGATGCGTGTCCCGATGCACGCGAGTGTATATTTTAGATGCATGTCGCAGTTAAGCTCCCGTGTGTTATGCAATAACTGCACGCTCGGCTCTGCGTGTTCCTTTTACATGAGCGCCCTTCCGAAGGGAGTACATTCCGATGGATTCCCGAAGATTTGTGAAAGAGTGAGAGAGAGAGAGAGAGAGAGAGAGAGAGAGAGAGAGAGAGCGGATGAATATACCTGTCCGTCGGCGGCCGCGGAAAGCGGCGGAGGAGGAGGAGGAGGGACAGTCTCGGAGCGTAACGATAACACGTCTGTCAAAAAGTTGTTCGGCGGAATCGCACGGCGATGCATCAACTTCGTAAAACTACCTCCTGCTCTTGCTCCACCCTCCGCCCTCCCGCAGCCTTCACCGGTCGAATACGGCTTCTATCAAGCGGCTTCGAGGCTTTCCTCGGCTTTACTTATCTCGGCTACATCCCGCGAGTAGATTTCTTCGGACGAGAGTTTACCGAAATCGCGGCTGCGCAACTGCGCTGGTAATGATAAAGCGGATTCAGTCGCTACTCTGAGAAAGTACGGAGAGAGAGAGAGAGAGAGAGAGAGAGAGAGGGAGAGAGGGAGAGAGAGACGCTACGAGAGCGGCGGCGGGCAGGGTTAGGCGTGGACGGAAGAACGGAGGGAGAGGGGGGAGGAAGACTCGTTTTACGGGGCATTAAATTTTGACGAAGTGGCTCGTCCTATACCGGAGGATCCGAATTATCCTGGAACAGATAAACAGACTGGCGGCGGGAGGGAGGGAGTGGTGGTGGTGGTGGTGGTGGTGGTGGATGAGAAACATCGGAGGGTAGAAAAGGGAAAACAGAACGTCGACATTTCCAAAGAGGTTGTAGCGGTGTTTTGCGATCGCGGCGGGTACCGCGAGGGGGTGCGCGGGGGTGAGAAGAGACAGGAAGAAAGTATGATGGAAGTACTTCGGGGATTTTCACGGAGGGGGAAGATGAAATTTAGGAACGCGTCAGTCGAGCGTGAAAAGCTCGATGGCCGCGAGCTGTCTCGGCGCGAGCTCGGCGAGTTCCCCTCCCCCTCCCCTCGTGCCCCTCGTTCTTCCTCCTTGCTATCCTTTACTCTTTTCCCTACGTCGCTTCGTCCTGAGAAACTGTCAACGCCGCCAACGGCGACGGTTGCAGGAGAAGGATCGTCTGTTTTTCACTCCCGTCGCTCTAACCGCTCACGATGACCGCTGCGATTTTCCGATCGTCCTCGGGATTTATCCGGGCCGCGAATCAAACGTCGCTACACGCGGCGGCCTCGGAGGATCGGAAAACTACGGGAGGCCTCCTCCTTATTTCCCTGTTTTCGTCTCCGCCGCGCGCACATTCCGACGTTTACCGCATCGAGCCTGCGATTTTTCCAAATCAAACTCTCGCGCGCTTGACGCTCCTGAAGGGCGCGCAATCAAATCACAGTCGCGGCCGACCAACCGCGAGTCATCGCGAGCTCGATTAACGGCGCAATTAACCGCGTTCGGCGTGTCCGCTGTTAATTAGCGCCCGGAAGAATCGGTCGGCCGAAAAGTCGACGCGCACCCTCCCCCCCCCCCCCGCCCTCGCGCGACGACCGTGTAATCGGTGTTTTGCGCGGCAGCGAGGGGCGGGCTCCGGGCGGGGGATTGTCCGACAGCTAAACTAATTACGGCCGCTTCGTTTGCGTCCGCGCGCGCCGCTAATAACGAATTACAACGGCTCTCGCCGTGCTCTCTGTCTCTCTCTCTCTCTCTCTCTCTTCGCGCGCAACTCGGCAGAACTCGGTCGTGCGCTTCCGCCGTCGCTCCGCAGCATCCTCGTCTTCGTCTTTCTGCTCCCTGCTGCGCTCGAGAGCGCACGTATGCGTTCGTTCGCGCTCTCTCCCTCTCTCTCTCTCTTGCGCGCGTGCGATAATTAATTCCCCATTAAATGCAGAACGCGGCTTACTCCGGGAACTTAACACGCGTCGTCGCACACTTCGCCGGCAAAAGCTCGCTGATACAACCGGGTTATTAATGATCCATCTCAGCGATGGACCATTCGGGCGCGCGCGCGAGAGAGAGAGAGAGAGAGAGAGAGAGAGAGGGAGAGAGGCCGAGCATCTCGCATCGTGAGTCCTCATACTCGCATCCGCGACGTAACGGATAACGAGCCTCTCGACACGGTCGATTCTTGCGCGAGACGCGTGTCGCGAATGTCTCGCGTCGGACACGCGAGGTACTCCTGTTCGTCCTGTATGGATGTTCGTCCCTCCAGTCTCTTCCTTCCCCTCTTTTTCCCCGCGAAGAGCACATTCCGTGTTGCGCTTCGTCCCTTCGAATGTCCGGCGAGACGTAGATGACGATCTTTTTTTCTAATTAGACGTGCAGAGCTGGATATCGGATGTCGGCTGACGTGTCGTGATCAAAGTCCCGGCAAGGATCGCAAGGATTTATTTCACGGTGGTAACTCTCGCGCTCGGCTCGATACGCGCTATCAGTCGCGGAGAGTGGATCTCTTTTCGTCGCTCGAGGCGGCCGCGGCGCGTCGATTTATGCTCGCGACGCGGAGGGGGTGAGTCGCGCGCAAAAAGGCCCGGCGAATGAATATATAGAGCGCCGAGATACGCTCTCTCTCGCGTTCCTCCCGAGCTCTCGGACCTCCGAAACTTTCCTCGCCCACGCGCGTTTATCTCCCTATGGCAGACGCAGGCGTTCGTAATCAGCAAAAAATTGCGGGACACGCGCGGCGCCGATAAATCTGATTTCTATCGGAAGTATTCCCGCGCGACTTTGGTTCGCGAGTCGGCGAGATTTATCGCGGGGCCGGGGGAGGGGGAGCGGGGGGCAGCGCGTTTTTACGAACCTCGCCTTCGCGAGAGTCTTCGGCGAGATATCGCCGCAGGCACAGAATGACGAGCGGACTAATCGCCATCGTCGGTGACGCCGCGCGTGCAACAACGCGACGATAAAAAGCAGGAGGAGGCTGCGCGCCGTCGTAAACACGTCGTCCGAGGGAGATCCTAACCTCGTGGTCGTCGGCGCGCACACGCGCGTAATCGAGCGGCTAATAAACACGGCGTAATATCAGCGTAATTACCGCCGCCGGTACGAGACGGCACAACGGGTAAGCGATAACGTATCACGCTGCGAGTGACACAAATTTCCCGCTTTTCCCCATTTTTCCCCCGCCCTCTCTCCTGCCCTGCGCTGCCCTGCCCTGCCCTGCCCATGCCCTTTTTCTCTTCGGTGCGGCGTGCGAAATTAACGTCAACGCGGAAATTCGTTGCCTCAACGCCGCGCCGGCGACTACGAGATTACTAATCGCACGTCCGGGGGTGTGTGTGCGCGCGTGGAAACTCTCCGAGAGAGAGAGAGAGAGAGAGAGAGAGAGAGAGAGAGAGAGAGAGAGAGAGAGAGAGGAGCAGTACGCGTACACACATATATACCGAGATGAGATGTAATACACACCGTACACACCTTCGTGCGAATTAATGCGGCCGGCTGGTGTACATACATATACATATACGAGCGTCTGGCGCGTAAAGTGTTTTATCGTCGCTACGATGGTTTGACGTAGTATACGCGTTAATTACTTTTGCTTTATGACCGGCGAGCGCGAGAGACGCAACGAGGGGAGGAAAAAAGGGGGAAATCCGGGGAGAAGCAGCGGCAGCGCCGCCGCCACCGCCGCCGCCGCTGGCGAATTACTCCTATCCAAAGGATCCTCGTGATGCAAATTATCCGACGGCTTTTTACGCTTATTTTCCGAGAGCTTTAACTACCGACAGCAGTCCCGCGACGAAAATTTCGCGAAGAAGCTACCGCGCGCGCGCATATTTTTCCGCGCCCGTTAATCTGTTCTATTTATTATCGCCGTTCATTTATCATTCCGTTTGGCCGTTCGCCTTCCGCGCCGGCCAGCCTCGTCATCGATTTCGTTCGGTGTTCGTCGGGAATTACGCGGTTTCTCCTCGCCTTCTCTTTCTTTCTCCTCAACCTGAAACTCGACGAAATGTCTTGGCGAATTATTGGCCGGTGAATGATTCGAAAATCGATCAGGAGAGGATCGTATCGCCCGTCGCCACGGCACTTTGCCGCTCGATGTCTCCGAGGACTTACGAGTCCTTGAAAGGATCTCTCGATCAAGAATCGACAATCGCTGACGGCGTTGTTTCTCTTCGTTTCTCGTCCCGTTAGCAAAGGCAACGATAACGGAATCTAACAAAGCCGGTAGCGCCGCGGAAGTGACAGACTAGTCGAATGCGAGCGTGGGAAGGACGACGAGGCGATTCGCATGTGAAACAGGACGAAGCCCTTCGAAGGCTCCGCGTGTCACGCGGACACGCACGTGAAGATAATTCCCGTCACATCGACCCCGCGGGAGACGCCGGAAGAGCGAAACCTACCCCGGAGACTGCCGTTCCCGAAGGCGCGATCATCGCGAATCGTCGATCCGCGAGCGGTCCGTCTCGCCGCGAAAGCATCTCTGTCTGTCTGTCTGTCTGTCTCTCTCTCTCTCTCTCTCTCTCTCTCTCTCTCTCTCTCTCTCTCTCTCTCTCTCTCTCTCTCTCTCTCTCTCTCTCTCTTTCTCTCTCTCTCTTTCTCTCACCTCCCCGGGAACGATCCTTGGGAATCCTCGCGTTTATATCGAGCCCCCTCCCGGAAACGAAGCCACCTCCCGAAGCGTAACGGCTCCCTCGAGCATGTTTCTTTCGGCAGATCGGCTGCAACGCATGGGAAGACCCTCTCGCAACTATACCATTGGCTGGGCCCGGGGCTGATGATCGCCGCGATGATGGCAACGACGACGACGACGATGACGACAACAACGACGACGACAACGACGACGACGACGACGACGACGACGACAACGACGACGAGGACGATGATAATACGGTGAGATGCCGATGATCGTGCGATTCCCACAAGTGCACCGCCGTCGAACGGCCCGCATACAGACACATATATTCTCCACACACACACACACACACACACACACGCTATCGTCGAGTCCTTGGATCCTGCGGAGCGTAGGAAGATCTCTGCGCGCACGGATAGCGGGATCTTCTGTCGGGAACCTCCAGAGCGCCTCGGACGCGCGACGCTTGCGGATCCTCCCGGATCCTCGATTAACGTCCTGCGTGCTTGCAAGTCTCTTTGATCCTCGGGATCTCGTCGTTTACCTGGGACAACCCGTTCGACGGATCACACTCGGCGGGCGATCCTGACAGCCTTCGAGGAGATGGACGCGGATGGAGAGCCGGAAAGCTTCGCGAAAAGCACATGACAAATTATACATGGATGTCTCTCGTCTTTGTTGTTCTCCAAATGCATATATATATATATATATGTGTGTGTGTGTGTGTGTGTATATATATATGTATATATATATATATATATACACATGTATATATATAAATATATAGGCAAATATATATTTATATATATTTCCGCACTAGAGCTCTATGTAACGCACGGAGGACACTTCAATGCGGTTTCTCGCGCGACGTCATGATGTAATAAATACTTTATACATGTATACACATTAATTAATATACGCGGCCGACGCGTGACTTGTCGATAATGTTAATCAATTAATATATATATATTGCGACGCGCGCGCACTTTAATTGATAAGTTATCGGAGATGAAGTAACGTGAGCAGAAAGCCGAGAGGATACCGACTTTTTTAATATATATATATATATAAATTAAAATAATATACACGTCGCGCGACTCCCGTTCATTGCTTTAACGTCTAGCTAACCGGATTATTTAAATATTTATACATACGGAGGAGAAGGCGAGGAAGAAAAGAGGAGGAACGCAGCTCCTTTCGATCGACTCGCGCCAAAACTTTCGGTCGACCGCGCGCCGAGCGATCGTCGGGGACGAATTTTCTACACGCGATCTCTCTCTCTCTCTCTCTCTCTCTCTCTCTCTCTCTCCGTCGTTCTGCTCTCGTCGGAACTTTTTTCTCGTTATTACCGTCTCTCATTATGCTGCCCGACGAAACGGCTCGTCGTCCTTTGCGCCTTGAAACGAGCGCAAAAATGGTTTCTTCGGGTCAGCTGGCATTAATGTCGGATAATTGAGCAACTGTCAGAGCGCGAGATTGGATTTTCCTTCCACGAAAATGAAATAACGCTTAATCTTCGTCGATATATAAAGGTGACGAGACGCACGAAGCTGGCGCAGTTTCGTCGTCGAGTCGACGCTCGTTTTTTACACGCGACAACTGATTATTCCTGTTTTTAAACATATCACTCGCATCGTGTCGGCGCACGGAGGCTAATTAGTCAGTGCTCTGTCAACACGTAAAGTTTCGGAGGAGAAAGAGAAAACGAACGCGCGAACGAAGCGAAAAAAGCACCGACCCGATCGTTCCGCTCGGCGTCTAACGTCACTGTAATATTCTCTAAGGTACTAACTCGTTGTTTAAATTAATAATTATTTTAGCATAAATATACATATACGAGTCTCCGAGTCTCTGTACATATTGTCTTCAATGTTCGTTTCTAATCGATCAATGTGATCTACGTGTTATGACGAAGGAGAGAATGGATTGATTTGACGCGCGAGAGTGGCGCAATTGTTTCTCTGCGTGTACGCGCGTGCGGATGAGAGGAAGAGAAGGGGGGCGGGAGTGCGTGAATGTGAGGATAATTACGCGAGAGCAGTTAATCACGTGGCGTCAAAAGTGGTCACGCCCGATCGTCACCGTCTCGCGCGAGTCGAGCCCGCCGATATAATAAAGATATCGCTAATTACGCGCGCCGCCATTGAATCATCGTCGCTCGCTGTCCCTAGAATCAGCTCCGACATGGAGAGTCATCGGAGAGAGCCGAAAGCTCTCGATCAGCCGAGAGCAGGACCTCGCGCCTCTTTTTCTCTTCTCTTCGAGAGAAAACGATGCGCAGAGTTCCTCGCGACAAGCGCGCTCGAGTCGCGACGGCGACAAAGAGGGTGACGAGGAGGAAAGTAAGGAAGAGAAGCAAGAACAAAGTTAACAATAACGATAAGCGGCGTCGCGAATCGAGCGTCTCGCTCGCTCGCGGTATTCTTCATTGTAAACGTGTATCGCACCCTGTCACACACACACACACTCCGGAAACACGCATCACATTTCACGTGCACACGTGACACACACCGAAACTCGAGTGCACGCGCACGATCAAAGCCTTGCCGCTAAGCCTTATCTTGTAACACGAGGTTTCAATAAACTGCTGAAAGAAAAGACTTCCGTACCTGTGTTTCTCGTTCATTCAGCCGGAAGACCCCATCCACCGCAAGCCGCAAACGTCCGATCTCCGCGCGTAGTCTCCTCCTCGTCGCAAAGTGTCGCCGCGATCGTCACGGAGCGGATCCTTGATCGATAGACACGGTTGCGCGTCTATCTTCGCGTTTGTGGCGAATCGAAAGAGTCGCAAACTCGCGCGACACGTCATAGACGCGACAGGTGAACGCGGCGGACTTTCAGACCGCCGAGACGTCGTCTCGCACGCTGCGATCCCGCCGGGAACACGTCGTGGGCTGCGCTCAATAAACGTCTCTCCCGTCTTCTGTCTCGTAGGTGGTTCTTTATTCTTTGTAAAATCATACAGCGAAAGCGATCGGATCTACACAGTGTAGTGAAGCGAGATACAAGTGAAGTGAACGTTCGCGGCACGAGCGACGGCCGAATCGAACGTCGCTGAGGGCGCCGGCAGTTCTCTTTCTCCCTCCCTCGCTCTCTTTTTCTACCTCTTTCTCCTTCTCTCTCTCTCTCTCTCTCTCTCTCTCTCTCTCTCTCTCTCTCTTTCACGTCCGTCTCACGGCCGGTCTCAACGACTCCTCCACCCGAGGGACGATTCTCCGAGAATCCGGTGGAAGGAAAGGAGAAGAACGATCGATAAGCGCTCTGTCGATGAACATTTCTTTCTCTTTACTTTTTACCGCCGAAACGGATTCTTGCCGGTCTTCCTGAGAAATGTGCCGGAAATGTATATTTCGCGAATACATGTCTGTCGCGCGCTCGCGAATCCTTCTACTCGTCCTCCTCATCGTCGTCGTACCTCGGCTGGAGGTCTCTTGACGCACCGTCGACTCGTCCACGAACCGTCTCTCTTTCGAAGGTACGTACGTTCTTTTGTCAACGTCTTTCTGTCTCTCTTTTGAACCTGTGTTTCTCTTTTGCTCTCTGCGGATTCGTTTTGGCCCGAACGTAGCGCGAGGTTCTCTCGTAAAAATCGTTCGCTAGAAGCGCCGCAACCGCGGACCGTCCGCCCGCGCGTGACTTAGAAACTTAATAACTAATTCCGACGAAATTACAAGTAATGCAAATGTACGTATATACCTAAGGTCCTAATAATAAAAACTAGAAGTTTCCTCTCGTGAGATTATAATTATCCAAAATATATGTTACCTAAAGTTATATCGTCGTAGTCGGCTTGGTGACGTCGCGGTGATTGGCAATCAAATGTCCAGCGATGTTGATTCATGATTTCGCGCATGTGTGTGTATGGTGTGTACAAGCTCTCTCTGTGTGTGTGTGTGTGTGTGTGTGTGTGTGTGTGTGTGTGTGTGTGTGTGCGTGTCCTGTGAAACAAATGCCTTTTATACAAATAGCTCTGTGGTACAGAAAATTTGATTTCCCCTACTACAGTATATAGGTGTGTATATATATATATTTATATATATATATGTATATATACACACATATATATACATATATATATATACTTTTATAATAGCTAATAAATAATCCTTAATAGTTCGTCAGTTAATTTCTGTGAAACCCGCCTATCCGGCGCTTAAAATACGAAATCGCTTACACGCTTATAATATTTTATACGCTCTGTCTTCATTCTCGGAATTTTTCTTAAAAACCACGATTTCTCTCTCTCTCTCTCTCGCTCGCTCGCTCGCTCGCTCGCTCTCGTTCTCTTTCTTTCACTCCCTTTCTCTCCTTCGTATGTCTCCGTACGTCTTTTACGCATATTATATACATATATATATATATTTATATATATATATATATATGTATATGTACCCTTACTTATATTAATGATTTACCGTAATGGTGTGCGGCGTGCTTAAGTTACTGGTTGCACTTACCGATATCACCTGCCGCGCCGGCAGAGGGGGGATCCGCGCCCTACACCCTCGCGGCCGTAACTTTAAAAAGCTTAAAAACCTCGTACTTAGGCTAACGAACGTTAACGTCGCGGCGCGTGGCGCCGTCTTCACCGAGCCCGTAAAAAGGCGCGTCGCACGGCCCGGCACTTTGGTGCCGTCCCGGACGCGACGCGCGTAAATGCAATCAGTAGCGCGTATCCTCGCTCTCGTCCTTCCGATCGCGCCAGACTCCCCGGATCCCCCGATGAGGCCGGCGACCGCAAGAATCCCGCGTGGAAGCTGTCCGCGGCGAACACGCTCCGGGATCGCACCGGGAGTCGAGAGCGGTGGCTCGAAGAGAGAGCCTCGGGAGAGCCCGGGAGTCCTGGACCCGGTCGAGTCCTTACGTGGCCGGGATACGAATGTGTGAAATGTGTGACTCGAGGTGGATCCGTGCGACGACGAGGACAGAGGGAACGTCTGCCTTCGTGAGAAACTTCTAAACGCGTGTGTCCACGTGTTTTGCTGTGTGTACACATGCGTGTGTGTGTGTGTGTGTGTGTGTGTAGGTGCATGGGTGTGTACAGGAAACTCGCGTAATGCGAAACGTCGGTGCATGCCGAGGACGCTTGTTTTTCGCACGGTGTCATGAGCGAGATAGAAAATGCGGATTTGCGGTGAGAATAACGCGGCAACGATTTTCGGATAAACGATACAGCGCGAAGACTGCGAGATATCGAGAAATCGCTCGTCGATCGCTGCAAGAGCCGCGACAATGTCGCATCTGAGTCGGCGGTGACTTCTCTTTCTCTTTCTTTTTTTTTTTTTCTAATTTTTCCCTCTTTCTTCGTTTTTTCTTAACAACGGAACAAACTCCTTAAGACTGGAATGTGCGCACGGGGATGATGATACTGGGAATTATTTTGATCTTGGATCGCGGCACCGCCACGGGTCTGAACACCCGTAGATCGATCCACGCGGATCCACGTCTTCCTGAAAAGTGACCTTTGTGTCCCTGGACGCGCTCGCGCGAGTCCAGGAACCCCTCCTTGACGATCGGTCACGCGTCGGTTCGATCTTCGAGCGATTCAGATCCAGCGAGCGTTCCGCTACTCGCTTATCCGAGGAGATTACGATTGCTAAGTCTATACATTCGCGTAGTCGTAGGATTTAATTAATTTACTCGCTTTTACGCGGCTAAACCTAGCTGTATCTGCTCGCCGCAGCTTCGCTTTAGAACCGGAAACTGAAATAAAAAATGTACTTTCTCGCAATATACTCCCTCCTTTCCTATTTTTTGTTTTTCTTTTTTCTTTTTTTGTCGTTTCTTCTCTTAGCGAGATCAGATCGGCTACCGATCACGGATGAGGAATTGAAATTTCCTCGGAGGTTCCTCGCAGAAGCGTCTAATACGTTCGTTCGCCATGATTTTTCTTTTTCAGCGACTCGAATGCGTGCGATCATTTCTTCCCTCGCGTATAAATTCACAACAAAATCGACGCACGTTCGTCTGTGAATTTATTACAGATCTAGCAGAGAAAAGAAAAATGCGAACTCGTTGGGGTTGGTAGTCGATTTCTCTCTCTCTCTCTCTCTCTCTCTCTATCTTTTTCTCTCTCTTCATTTCCCCTCTCATCGATCTACGCAACCTTCTCGCAACGTTCGTTATAACAACAACACCGGCGGCATTTTCGTTTTTTCCCATACGATGTCTACCTACGAACGTGAAGATTTAAGTCTCACATGGCAGTCCGTTTGATCTTGTCTCCCACGTATCAACTCGAACATCCCCAATGACTTTACGGCAGCCCCGGACGCCAGGCTCTCTCTTTCCAAGCCGTCGGCTGGCTGCCGAGCAAGCTGAACATTAAGACACATCTACACGGAGAAATAGAGTTTCGCTATTATTATTATTTTATTTTCTTTTTTTTTTGGTTCATCTAACGAGCAAACAGTGTTAATTAGAGTTTATGTATATTTTATATAGGTAATAATTGTAATAATAATTAATAATAATAATAATTCGTAATATCAATTCTCATTCCAACAACAAGTTTAAGTTTATCATCTGATACTATTTATTTTTGTCTCTCTTTTCTCCCCTCTCTCTCTCTCTCTCTCTCTCTAACTCTTTTTCTCTCTCTCTCTTTCTCTGTCTCTTCCTCTCCTTCTCCTTTCTCTCGTACAATCCTCCGTCCCTTTTCACTCCGCGTGCTTTCACCCGGTTCGCTCTTTCCCCTCTCTCGATCGATACTTTCTTCCTCATTAATATATCTCTGTTTATTATATATATATATATCTTTTATTTATCTGTTTTATATATATATATATATATATATGTATAGACTGATATCAACACACGTATAACATCGACATTTTTCCGCTCCCATTTCTTCCTTTCTTACGTCTTGTGTCTTTCCTCTCGTTCTTTCTTTTTTTTTGTCAGATCGGCTATCGCGGAGAAAGTTGCGGCTGCTCCGACGCGGCGCCCGTTAATCACAAACTCTCTGCCTCCTCGTTTTATTCGCGCGCGAACTACGAGTGCCGGACCGCGTCGCAAAACTTAACGACGATCCGATCAGTCAATTGTCCCTTGTCCACCTCACTCTTACCTCCTCCTCCTCCTTTCTTGTTTCCGCATTTAGGTTTCGGCGTTTAATCAGTTGAACATGAACTATCTGTCTCCTCTATTATGCGTCTCTCTCTCTCTCTCTCTCTCTCTCTCTCTCTCTCGTTCTTTCTCTCTCGCCGCACACATCTCCGATTTCGTTCTCGAGGAGGACCCGAAATTTCGAGGATCTCCTTTTGTTCCTCGCTCCCCTTCGAGTCTCGAGCGCGCTCCACGCCGAGTGTTCGTCTCATCATTCTTTTCCTTTTTCTCGTCTGTGTTTCTTTCCTCACCCTGCTCCACCGTTAACCCCTTCGCCGCGTAGAAGACGCACAGCGATGTGATAGCGCTCCGTGCCGCTGAGAGAACGCGAAATCGATGTCGCCGTAGCGAGAGTGTCTATAATTGAGAGGTCCGGCCGTTTGTTCCTTAGTATTCAATATCCTTTAATATTCAATTCCTCGCGGAACAAGTTTGCCAGCGGAGAATTCTCTCGCCGCGACGAACACTCGGCTAATCGATAAACCAAGTCCCGCTCCGCTTCTCCTCCGGCCGCCGAATCAAACAAAGCAACGAACGATCGCCGGCGTAATCAGAAATGCATCCTCGAAGATTCATAAACGTCTCCGAAAACGCTCACTTACCTTTTCACTTATTTCCTTCCCCTCGATGAAACGACAACTTCAGCCAGGCCGACCTTCGAGCAGCGAAAGGGTTAACTCCCCCCGCCTCCCGAACCGGATATCTCTTCCGCTCTCTTGTCTCTTTTGGCCAGATTCTCTTTCTCCCCCCCTCTCTCTCTTTCTCTCTCTCTCTCTCTCTCTCTCTCCGGATATGATTCACGCGTCGCTTTGCGCGCAACGCGCTTGCCGCGCATACAACTAAGGTCTCTCCTTTTTACACTCCCCCTTAATGGGATGCACAATATAAACGCGATGAGAGGGCGGGCTGGAGGGAAAAGAAAGTTCGTCGGGACATAATTACTGCGATAGAGGGAACGCGGCAGCGCGCGCTGGAAGTGGATATGGTGTCTTCTCGTCCTCGTCGAAAATCAACGGGCAAATCGGAGAGAGAACGCAACGGGCGAGACTGCGTCCGCTCGACGGCGTTCGCGGGACGTTGCCCGTCTCTGAAACTACCGAGATTCGCTCGATAATCTTCGACCGTGTGTGTATGTGTGTGTGTGTGTGTGTGTTGCGTGTGTAATTTCCTCCTCGCTTCCTCTCGCGCACTCGTTCTCAGTTGTCTTAATTCTACCCTTAACGGAATTGCGCGCGCGTGCGCGAGTGATCTAATTCCTCTCAACGAGAATTAAGACGCGCCCTCCGCGCGGCGAACTTGCTTTTTCTTCGCTCCTCCGCTCGTCTTTCCTTTCTTTTCCACGTTGCACCAAGCATCTCTCGTTGTTGTCGTCGCGTTGCGCACCCTCCTCGATAGACTGGATTCCCATCGATTCCTCCCTCGAGAAGTTACCGAGAAAGCTGGAAAACGCGAAACGCGCGAGAGGGGGTAGTAGCTTCGATTACGAATTTACAGAAGGCTCACGGAAGGTGTGAGGGAAACTGAAAGAGTCCAACGCTCTTCTCTCCCTCTTTTTTCTCTCTTGCACCTATCCATTATTTAAGATACCTCCGTGCTCTGGCACTTCCAAGTTCAGGTAACCCTTTGATACATTTATTTTTTCTCTTCCGGCGATCACTGCTTCCTCGAGATGATGGAGTCCTCTCCGGCTGTCTCCCTCCCCCCTCGCCCCCTCTGATAATAATAATCGTATAAAAAACTCGTTTCGCAAGCTCGTTCGGCCCGCGATGCGCAACGCGCGTGGCAGTATATTCTCGATAAGTAGACATTGTATATACGATAATGATACATAGCGGTGTGTGTCGTTCGTTCATGACGAAGCCGTCCATTAACCCTTCTCACGGCGACGAAAGGGCGTCGAGAACGCGATGTGTCTTCGGAGGAAACGACGACATTGCGTCGGCGGTGGATCGAATGAGAACTACCGCCACTGTACGGTCGCGCTCCGAGATGCATTTCGTGCAGCGCAAGATGCACCTAAGTGACGTTGACGTGTTATAGCGCGCTTCTGTCTCTCTTGTCCGCCCATCTATCTGTGTGTGTGTGCGTGTGTGTGTGGCCGTTTGGTCGACGGTGTCGATACTATTTTGCCAGCGACTGCCGCGAATCGATACGTGTCGCTGCTAATAGTGCGACAATTAACCCTTTAAGACCGGGAGTGCTGCGCGATGGAGAAACAATGCTGTTTGAGGCTTTGTTTCCGAACACGGAGGGACGAACCGTATCTGTGGGTGTGTGTGTGTATGTGTGTGTATGCTTGGTGTATACATATCATGGCGGTTTAAAATAGCGTAAAACGGCATTTCGAGCGCGAAATGCGTACTTGAAGAGAGACCCGGCGAGTTCGGATTCGGATTCAGGTACACTGATAAATCTCCGCGGATCGCTCTGATAATTGCTTGTCCTTCAGTCGACGTGCTTCCGCGGCCGGCAACAGCGCGGCGGGGAAACGGCGAGGGTAAAAATGCACTTTCGCGGGGGAATTACGATCGCGGCTGGTATAATCGCCCCCGAAAGAAGAGACCCGGTCTCAAAGCGTTAAGCCAAGGATCCTCGGATCCGAGGAGGATCGAAATTCGGAAGCCTGGAGCCTGTCCGAAGAGTCAACGGACCGAATATATCCGGGGGATTTGGGGGTGCAAGGGCGGCCTGAGAGATCCCGCCGATCCCGACTCCCGATTCAACTCGCCGAGGATCCAAGGATCGGAGGGCGCGAGGATCGGGAGACTCGCGGCTTTCCACGGACGAAAAGATTCTCTGGCTCCTCATTGTTCCTGGCGAGCGCGTTCGCCGCCGTTCCTCCGCTAATTGATCCGGAGGACGATTAATATCGTGCGCTCGACTTTGCGTTACTCGTCGTTAATTGGAGGGGCCGATCGATGCCGCGGCTTTATTACTTCGTCGTCGTCGCTCACGGAGGGAAAAGGATGCCGGATTATTCGCGATTGCGCCGCTGCAAAATCGCACGAAATTCCGCCGGACGCGAACTGAGAGCCAGTGCTCTCGTGTTTCTCGCGGTGCTGCTCGAGGGTGAAGCGCTCGTGTCTCGGGGAGGGCGAGGCGCGAGGACGACGTCGAGTCGCGGTCGAATACGCGAGCCACCGATCACGGCGACGGCAAGTAATCCGGGGCGAGGGTGAATCCGCCCGGATTACGAAGGGAACGAAGCGTAGAATCGAACTCGGCTCTTTAGAGGCCCGAGAGACTTGAGGGCGATCTGCTCCTCCGAAGGATACCGCGCGATCGATGGGAGAACCGCAACTCCGCTCGCGATCCGCCGCACGGTGGACACGTGCGCTCGTCGTCGTCCACGTCCTTTGTCCTTTCACTCGAAGTAGATATCTCGAAATCTCCTCTTTTGTCGATCCTCCTCCCTTCTCTCATCGATAAATTTATTTAGATTACTTGGTACGCGCGGTTAATCATTTTATTTAGTACGATTAACGCTCCTAACCCGTAAAATTGTCCTGCTATGTGTGGATGTGTTAGCTGGTTGTGTGTGTGTGTGTGTTATGTGGAATTGGGTGTGTTCGTTCAGCTGTGTGTGTCCACGGACGATTACTCAATAAATAATAGGCTATCCTGGTTGTTTGAGGCCGTGCGATCGTCAAGTACTCGGTCGTCCTCCCGTCGGTGCGCCCTCGGTGAGAGCTCGTACCTCGTGCGACCGCCAACGCGACCGGTCCAACAGCTCCGTTGCCCTTCACACTTCTTCTTTATCTTTCGCCCTCTCACGGGAGCGAGTAGAATCGATTAGAGCGAGCGGATCCTGGGATCCTCGGGCCCTCGTATCGTGCCTTCCGATCCCGGATCGTTCCCGGATCGTCGGTTCCGCGAATCTTTGGTTTCTCGGATTCTCAGGCCCGCGGTTCGTCGGATCCTCGCGATTATCGTTCCCTACTCCCTCCTCCCAGCCGCGCTGTTCACTGTGTAACAAGTGTCCTGCGATCACGGGGTGCGACTGAACGGGAGGATGATCGACCATGCCTACCACCCGCTGCCGTTGCGTCGCGTCGTCGTCGTCGCTGCCGCTGCCGCCGCCGCTGTTGCTGTTGCTGTTGCTGTTGCTGTTGCTGCTGCTGCTGCTGCTGCTGCTGCTGCTGCTGCTGGTCGCGCGAGGACGATCGGAGACGGCCCCAAGGAAATTCCTATAGATGCACCTGTGCGAGACGCGCGATCGGGTTTTACAGGTGCCACTTGGCTATCAGTATCATGATTAGGTGGGGGGCGAGGGTGGTGAGCGACGCGCCGCCCGTCACCCGCACGTCGCTGTCCTTGAGGAACACCTTCTCCATCACGTGGATGATGCCGTTGGTGCACTCAACGTCCGGACGGAAGACTCGAATCCACATGCCCTGCCACTCGACGCTGTAGCCTGGAACGAGAGACGGACGATGACGTAAACCGAGCGGGCAAGACGACGGCGATCGGTCGGAGAGCCGCAAAAGGGGAAAGAGATAGGGAGGTGGTGAGACGTGAGGTGGCGGTGAGAAGATGTAAGTGAAAGCGCAATGCGATGCAAAATGCAAAGCTCGGTCGATCCGCGACGCGCATCGAGAATTCGATGACGATGACGAGACAGTGGGCTGTGGGGCGAACGTGTGGGCTAACTAAAGTGACAATCTCAAGTGACGAGATGAGGTTAGGTTTCCGGGCTGAGGGGACCAGCGGGGCGACTCGGTGGCTGGTTTGTTCTAACGACGCGCGATCTGCTAAGGCTAATGGCTGCGGCAGCTTCATTTCCGCAAGGCTTGTCGAACAAGCGAAAAATGTCGCAGAGCAAAAGCACCGACGCCGGGCCGTCCGTGAGAGATTTCTAATAATTATCTAATCTCTCGGATCTAAGGTAAATGTCCCAGTAACCGGACGTTTAAGCGTAAGTCGTCACAAGAAATACAATGTACAATGTTAAGGATAGTTTTCATATAAATATTTGCATTTATTCGAAAACTCCAGATTCCCTTAAGCAGAGAAAAATGATTTAAACCAATATATAGATCTATTATTAATGAAATATTTACACAAGTAATACGAAGCGCGTTAATGTACCAGTGACCGGATAGTTGAAGTGAGTTATGGTCCAATATTCGGATAATAATTTGCCCCAGTGTCTGACCGCAATTAGAAAATTAGTATGCTAACGTAATGCTAACGGGAAATAATATAAATATAGATGCTATCTGTTAATGAATTTATTAACGATTGACCAATATTTTGCCAAACCACAGGTGCATACTTATTAATTTTTATTTTAATATAAAAGTATCAAATTGGATATATCTTTTTCCAACTAGTCCTCAAGTATTGGAGCTTTTTTCATAATAATTATTACTTTTGTTCATTATATTGTTAAAATAAATAGTAAATATTTTTTTTTCAAAGTGGTCGGATATACTGAGACGTGTCCGGCCATTGGGACGTTTACCTTAATAACTGGATGTGTGTACCTTGTGTCGACGAGAGAAACTGTTGGCCCAGCTAATTCAAACACGACTCGATCGGTCTTGAAGAAATAATCTTTTCGCTAATATGTAAATATCGATGACACATTCCTGACCCGTTGCACCGGCGAAGGAAATCATTATTCGACGGCGAGCGCAAATTTTCACGGGGACGCGTGTTTGAATTTCGCAAGTGAGACTTTCGGTTGAGCGAGAGGATATTTCAATTCCTCATGCTGAGAGCTCGAATATCCTTGTTCTCAAATATTAAGACGACAAAAGTATCCGGGTATCGGATTGTTACAAGCCCTCCGCGTCTCGGCGACGTAAAAATAATCCTCTACTCCCCCGCGACATCGCTGTTTACATTTCGCAAATATATCCCCGCTCGCCCGATAACGAAAAGTATACCAAAGTTTATTCTCTCCTCGTTCGCTCGCGATTCTCTCCCCGAGTTCCCCCTCTCGCGAGATCGCGGAACAGGGCGATTGTTGAAGCGGCGATCGCGTCGCGAGTCGAAAAACGCTTCGGAAATTCGCGTTCATAGGGGGCGAGCGAGGGTGGGCGGGCGGCGGGCGAGCGCGTAGCAATTAGCGCCGGGGGTAATCAAGGAATTTGCATTTAAATGGTGGTCCAAAGGTGCATAATAAATCGCGCCGCGGTTCCGCTCCATAATGGCGCGCACAAGCGCGCGCGTTCGGTTTCGGTTTTCGGCCGCAGCCAAGACCCCTCGTCGCGCCCGCGGGAGAGACGCGCTTTCACGGCCGATCGCCGCTTTGGAATCCGCTCTTCGGTTGGAATCGCCTTGCACAGCGGAGAAATTCAGCGCATTTTGCGACGCTCGGCGTCGCGGCGCGCGCGGCACGGCGAAGGCGCGTCCGCTCGAGAATCTCCGTTTGCCGTTCGCCGTTCGCGGTTCGGTCGGTCGCTTTTCGCGTCGTCGCTTCCCCGTGCGAGACGATATCAGCGCGGATTCATTGCTCTAGAGAACGACGCGACGAGACGAGAGTACGAAACCCGCCCGCTGGCGACGTCCGATAATTCGCAATTAACGCGGCGCGTGTACGCGCGCGCGGACTTTATTAACGTCGCGAGCGTCGTGTTTTCTTCCCGCGTCGGCCGGACGAAAGAGCTCGCGTATCGCGTGTCGCACCAATGAAGTAATTAGTATCGACCGATAATACGGACGAATTATTATCGCTAATGCTTTAATGCTAATACGGCAACGGGCAGCTGGCTTCCGCCGGCTTATGGAAGGATTAACGTACAGAGCGCAACCAGAGATTAATATCTCCGCGTAACCGTAATGGTCATCGCCCTCTGCCGCCCCGTTGCCCCGTCGCACCCCCTCCCGACCCCTTCCGTTTAGTAGTCAGCTGGAATCGCGGAAGGAATAGTTGAGTTTCCGCTGCCATCGCCGTCGCCGCTGTTGTCTTTTCCTTTCAACATCCCACGTTAAACATTTCTCTTTCTCTATCTCTCTCTTTCTTGTCCTGGTGGAAGGCGCGGCGCGGCGCGGCGAAGGGGTTGCTCGAATTCTTATTCTACGCGTGACGCGACGCGAGCGCGCGCGTGCGCGCGCGCACGCGCGAGAGGGTGCGTTTATACGCGACCAGTGGTTGTGTCTCGGTCGGCATACAATAGACGGTAACCGCAAACGAGTGGCTCCTCGTTTTCCCCGCGACAAAGGTAATGATATCCTATTGCCGTTGTTGTTGCGATTAATTTACGCGCAACAATGAACGTTCTGCTCGTCGTAATTAATTCCACCGTGCACAATGAGTATTGTTGCCCCCGCCGCAATTAATACGCTTTTGTTTCTCGCACACCGCGCGCGCGCTTCGCTCCTCATCGTCGTCGCTCTCTCCCTCTCTCCCCCTCTCTATCCTTCTTCGCGCTCGTCCTCTCTCTCTCTCTCTCTCTCTCTCCCCCCCCTCTCTCTCTCTCTCTCTCTCTCACCACCTGACATATACTCGTTTGTTAACCCCCCTCTCTCTTTTTCTCTCTATCTGCCATTCGTCTCTTCTCACCCTCAATTCAATGACCTTCGACCCGCCGAAGCCGCCGGGTCGCGCGAGGGAAAAAGAGAAAGAGCGGGAGCGGGAGGGAGAGCAGGAGAGAATCGTCGCACGCAACGCGAACGCGGGCCGTTGGTGGTGTTGAGAATCCCGGTTCTAATTGGTCGTGAAGCTCCGGACGCGGTCTTGGCCTCGCGAGCCGTTCATTGTGCGCGGTGTCTCTTGTGTTATTTAACGGCGAGTTCGATCGCGGTGCTGCGAGGCAGAGGCTCTCAAATGCGGGAGAGACTCGATGTGACGCGACGTGTCGACGAGACGAGGGAGCAAGCTTTCCGCTCGTCATCACGCTCGCGCGACTTCCCGCGGTTTGAGAACGTCTGCGTCTCGCCGAGATGTATCTACGTAGAGACGGCGATGCAATAAAATGACAAACAATGGAAAACAATTAGACGAAGCGTCGACGGCTCATGGCTCAGGTCTGGCTGATCTCAGTAGTGCGAACGAGTTTCCTTGCCTCTGCCTGTTTCCTGCTCATTACTTCTTTCCCTCGCGCCGAGCGAAGTTCGTCTCTCACTGGAAGGCCGCCGACGCCTCCCGGATCCTCCGTATGCTTAAGCGGAAGCGTCAGCGTGGAAGCGCAACAAGCTCGGCGATCACGATCACATGGTACGTGATAGTAATAACGCACGTAACGCAGTACGTAACAAGCATACAGAAAAGAAATCGTTGCACGAAGCCAGCATCCGAGGATCCAGAGGAGCTCCTGGGATCCGGCGATCGCGGATCCGCCCGCACGCGCCCGAGGAGAGATCATCATCAGAGAGCGATCTGGGAGGTCCCCGAACTCAAATCGCGAGAGAGACTTTATTCGCGCGCACGCGTGAGCCGCCTTCGGAACGCTTGGGCGAGCAAACGCTAAGTAAAAGCGCCGATTACAACCTAGGGCAGCTTTTCGGACTTCGTAATCGCGAGCGCGGGTTAAAACTTTCAGAACATTACTCATTACAGAAGAGAATTTCTTTGCGAATGATTTTTTTTTCTCGCACAGATAATTTAGTAACTGGTCAAATTCGTAAGTTAAATGAATAAATTCGTGTAGTAACATGTTGACCGGTTCTTAGCATACAGACAACTAAACTAAACCGGTTCTCAGCATACAGACAACTAAACTAAACTGTGATTAAACGCAACAAGAAATGAGGTAATATATTAAATAATATATATTAAATAAAAATATATTAAATAATATATTAAATAAAAATATATTAAAACAAATATTTACGTTTTTGTATACACGACAGTAGTCTAACCTAGGCACTAGTCTAGGCACGATTTATTTATATATCTCTCTCTTTCTTTCTCATTTCAACGATGTTGACATATGTTATTAAGGACATGAAGCAAGCTATAATAATGTAACATTTAAGGTTGGGTTAAGTTATTAATCCTTCTCGCGGGCGCAGCCTCCCGCCTCCTATTCAAGAATTAATACGTGTTTATTTCTTAAATATATACATGGTGTCGGAGAATTTTCTATTTTTGAAAATTCTTTTGTTAATAAATTTTTAATAAACAATGAGCGACGGCTGCAACTTTTTGCATAACACTCAGGAACATGTCCTTAACAACATATATCAAGGTCATGAACTTTTGAGGGGGTTGACCTAATGTGCATATTTACCTCGATTACAACCTGGGGCGGCTTTTCGGACTTGTAATCGCGCGCGTGCGCGAGAGATATATATATATATATATATATATTACAACGGGCGATGCGGGAACTATTGCGGGCCCGACCGGGATGGAATCGCGCAAGTTGCCGAGTGGGACCCGGGCCTGATGGACGTTTTCAGCTCTCGGCTGGCGCGGCGCGGGGTAATTTTGAGTACACTCCCCGGGTGGTTGGGCGAATTCCGGACGACGATCCCGGGGGCTCGGCCGACGATCGGAGACGAACTTCGCCGGCGCGGCGGCTCTCATACGCACATCACGCTCTCATTCCCTCGCGCACACATATACATGGCACACATACACGACGACACGTGTACGCGCGAGCGCGGTGCGTAAGGGGTGCACACTCCTTCACACTCATAGTGCTGCTCGTATACAAAGTGAAAAGCACTCGTGTGCGCGCCGTCGCACGTCGGCGACGTTCAAACACTTAACTCACTCACCGGATTGCGTTTCTGGACGGATTGCGTTTTCGTCGTACTTCTCATCTACATGTAATCAGACAGCACTAGGTTTGAGAGTGTCGGTGACATAAGCCGGGGGATGTGACGTCGGGAAGAGAGAAAGAGACGGACGGGTCTGGGAAGAGCGGGCCGGAGCTTTATATACGCGGGGAGTGCAGGAGGGGGCTGATGGTTCCGCGCGCCTCTCGCTCGCGGGAACAATCGCGAGCGCGAAGCAGACGCGCGATAGAGTGTTGAGGTGCCACCGATAGTTGACGGTTTAAGCGAGTGTGTCTCGTAGCGGACTCGTCTCGCGAACGTGCCTTCGCGGGCAAACTTTCCCGTCGCTGATGTGTGCGGCGCCTCTCGAATTTATACGTCTAGTTTACACTTGAGCGCGATCTTCGCGCCGCCTGCCACCGCGCGCGTTACACGACGGCTTGAAAATTCGCGAGACTACCGACACTTCGGTGATATTAAGATGTCTGTGCGGTGGAGTGGGTGCGTGTGTGTGTATGTGTGTGTGTGTGTGTGTGTGTGTGTGGTAATATACTCGAAGCAAGTCTACTCACTTTCGCCGTGCTCCTTGACGCGAAGTTTCAGAGTGTCCCTGGCCGCCGTGAGGAAGACGGTGTCGTTGCTCATCTCCTTCAGCTTCGCCATCGTGTACGCCTGGTCCGATATCACGAGATGTCGCTCTAGGATCTGCTTCGTCTGCCACAACGGATCGTGGATTTTTCATCGTTAGACACAGTCCAGCGGTGCTCGAGAGCAGCCCTTAAACCCTTCTCGCTCCCGAGACATTGGAAAATAAGAGCGAATCTCATTCGCGGCTTCGGCGGTCGAGCAAGGTGACAAAAAAGATGTCGGGCTCAAGAGCCCGAGGAGTCGGCAAGTGTCGGCAAGACACTGAGGACTCCTGAGATAGAAAATAGAAGACTCCAGGGAAAATATGAAACCCAGCGAGCTACCCCCTCCGAAAATAGCGCGAGTCTCTGCAGGCTCAGGAAACAAAACCCGAAGATCCGCGAGAGCTCGACGACGCGGCGATCGATACCGAGTGGAAAAAAGGGCCACGGGCTGCGCAAGGCGGGCCGGAAGAGACATCACTCACGTGATAACTGTATTCCGGCATGAAGAGCTTCTTGCACGTTGACGGATACGCCTCGGCCGCGCTGGTCCAGGCGTAGTCGCGCGGGACGAAGTACGTGAACCGCTTCGTCGTGTCGTTCAGCTGATCGTTGAACCCGCGTCGCTGGCCCAGCACGTAGGTCGTGCTGGAAAAAAGATAAGAAGCAACGTCGACGATTAATTTCACGTCGGTAACTCCGGCGAGAATTACGGGCTTCCCTCATCCTTTTTCTTTCGGTCCCTCTCTTCCCCTTTTCCCCTCTCGCCGAGGAACGATTTCAGAGGAAGGGACCGTGGATAACGTCATAACGTCTAATCCGTCTTGCTTTAAATCGCGTTAATTGAATCGAGGGGCCGCGAGAGCGCGGGAGAGAATTAAGCACCGCCGCGCGGGACATTTTTCCGAGGCCACGGGGATCGCGCGCGAGTAGAAGGCGCCGTGGTAACGTCGCCGCGTTGTTTACTCTATCCTCTCGTCAGGGCTTCACCTTCACGCGCGTCTCTTACGGGATTTAATCCGCCCTCCGCCCAGCCGGGGCTTGAACTCTCCGCTCTTTATAAAGCAGCAGCCGTCGCCGCCGCCGCCGCCGCCGCCGCCGCCGCTGCCGCCTTTCGCGCTCAAGTCTACCTGTGCGAGATCCGATACCCCCGATCCCCCTCCCGGGGGAGGAGCGAACGAGCACAGGCGGGTGTCAATTATAATTTTAAATCAGGAGATAATCCGGCCGAGTTTTCTTCAAGCTGGCGACGATATGCCGGGGCACGATTGTTGGCCGGCTATTTGAATCAACGTACATAAACAATCTCTCGCCGGATAATCTCCGCTCGTTGCAACGGCTCTCGGACTGCGCAAGATCCCAGGCTCGGGTCATCCAAGTTTCCCGAGGCTGCCGAGGTTCTTCGCCCCGTCCGTCGTTAATTTCTTCTTCGGGGCTATACCGGCACCTGCCAATCGTAGGTCTACGTACATGTGCGCCATCTTGTCTTCGAAGAAGTTTGAACGCGAGATATAAGGAACAGTGTTGTATTCCTCTTCCTCTGTCCGCAGGCATGTTATCTTTGTCCAGCTTCCCCCGACAGAAGCTGAGCTGGGCAAAGCTCGAGTGCTCGTGGACAGAAAGGCCGTTCTTTTCAAACGCAGCCCTCGCAGGCGCTTCTGGAGCGCTCAGTCCATGCCCACGAGTCTATGGTTGATTCAAGTTTCTTCGATCATTCTCTTCTTCATTCAAACATCGTCGATAAAGACAGACGTTGCAGGATCAACGGAGCAACCCTGAAGAGACATTCGCCAAAAAATTCCACGAGACGAAAGGAGATCTCGAGTCACACGACTGACAGATGCCGCGCATTCGGCTCGCTCTGAGATTAACTCATCACCTGCTGATTTCGACAGACTCGTGCCGTCGCGTTTCGCGACGGCAAATATCTCGTCCTTCGGATCCCCAGGATTTGCGAATTTCCCGGGGCGAACCCGGTACCAGCGTTGCGACGTTAGTCCTGGGACTAATTGGCTCCGGAGTTCGGAGTCGCAGCCGCGAGATCTCTGAATATTCGGCTCCTTCGGATGCTCGAGTTCTCGGGACACTCGACCCGTCGGATTCTCTCTCTCTCTCTCTCTCTCTCTCTCTCTCTCTCTCTCTCTCTCTCTCTCTCTCTCTCTCTCTCTCTCAAGACGCTCTCGCGTTTAAGCGGGTTATATAGATCTGCGATAGTCGTCGTCGACGACGACGATGAATCCGGCAGCGTTCGTGGGCCGGTAATCTCGCCTGCTCGAGTTCATTTGCTTTTTGCGTTGCGCTCCGACTGCCAAACGTTAAATTGGACAAGGAGGCAATATCGAGCGCGCCCGGGCTACGAATTTAATAGGTCCGACGTGGCGCCCTGCGAAACTATGCAATTCCGACCGTAAGAGGCTTCCACGGTTATAGTTTTTACGCCGACCGATGGCGACCAAGAGGCGGGGGAGGGGGGAGGAGGGGGGGCGGCCCCGAGGTAATTGGAATGGGGATTTGTTGCGTTATTTTAATTAAATTCGAACGAGAGCGCACGCGGGAACGGAGGAGAGAAGAATCGAGTCGTGCGGAAGAAAGGTTCGCCGGGGTCACGCGCGGATAAGATTTTCCTTCGGGAACGGATAAGGCGCGATGGTGCTCTGTCGCTGCCGCCGCCGCCGCCGCCGCCGCCGCCGCTGCTGCTAGAGGTGCTGGTGGAGCCGGCCTGGTCGAGATCGTATCTACGCGTGGGTGGAAAGCTCGTGCGCTCGCACGTGTTTGCCAGCCGCGCACACGTGTAGCCGGAGCGAGCGCGCTCGCCGTCGCTCGCAATTATCGATGTCTCCTCAGATAGAGATATCTCCCCCCCCCTCTCTCTCTCTCTCTCTCTCTCTCTTTCCCCCGTGAAAGATGAATCGTTCAATATATCATCCCGTCGTGCGAATAGAATCGCGAACGCGGCGGTCCTTTTACTCCCGAGCAGCCGAGCGGAATACGAAATACGTACGGGGTGTTTCGGGATTACCGGCGACGGCTCGACTCCGATTATTAAACGTTGAAATTCACGACGACTCGCGGCTCGGCACACCGAGCGTATATCTCATCGTATTGCGCGCTGCTGCTTTCTCCCCTTTCTTTTCAGTTTCAAACGCAACTAGCGCAACGTCCTCTCGCCCCGTTGAGCGGGGAGTTGATGATCCGGAGTACTTTGCACTTAATGAATAAAGATGAAGAAGAGAAAGAGGAAGAAGAACGTAGAAACTTACTTGAGCATCGGGTCGGTCCTGAGCTTGTCGAGCACGGTGGTGTACGGCACCCCGAGAAACCTGTCGATTATGTGAATAATTCCGTTGGTGGCGGCGATGTTGGCGGTGATGATGGTGGCGTTCACGCCGCCGCCCTCCACGGTGACGGTCTGATTTCCGGTGGGTCCCTGCACCACGTTGAAGTAGAGCTTCTTCCTGTCGGCGGCAGTCTGCACCTGCAAGAATCCAGGAGGAGTCTGTGAGAGAATGTTCGCGTAGCAGGGATGGAGCCGGCGGAGGCGCGTGACTCACGTTAACCGCCAGTCACGTGTGCGGCTTTAAAGGGGTTACATTACACGTCGAAACTGCCGCGGAAGGTACAGCGCGCGAGAGAATGAGAGAAAGCAGAAAGCACGTAGCGGAGGAGAGAGAGAGAGAGAGAGAGAGAGAGAGGAGAGAGGAGAGAGACAAGAACGTGTAAAGAGACGAGCTCTCGTAACTCTTCGCGAGGACGCAAAGAGAAAGAGAAAGAGAAAGAAAAAAAAGGGCAAGGATGTTAAGCGTTGCACAGCGAACGGAGTAGATCCTTCGAAGGCACGTGACTGTCGAAGCGCTCGCGCAAGCGGCTGTCTCAGAGAGCACGATTGATCGCGAGGAATCCGCGAGGCAGCACAGACAAACGTGTAGCTTTTCGATGCGCTGTCGATTCATCGAAATCACTCGAGTCGCTCTCGTGCAATTTGGAAAAAGAAAAAGAAACATCTCGCCAACAGGATCGTCGAAGAGTGATTTCCCGGCACGGTGAGGGTTCGAGTCGCCTTCGAGGAATCGATGTCGTGCGGGTGGAAATGGCAGGAGTATCGCACGCATGCACGCAGTTAAGATCGCAGACGGGACGGGCGGGAAATGGAAATTAAAAGTTGTGCGCAAGGGCGCGAACTTTCCGCCAGCTAGTTAGCTGTAAGTTTCGCGCGCAGTTATGACTGCATATACGCAGTCATGAGCACGACAGCAACAGCAACAACAATAACAACAACAACACCAAACAACAAGCACGAGAACATCAACACATATCGTCGCGCCGATGAACGCGGGGGAGAAAGTCCGACGAGGTCAAGTACCCGAGGATTCCCAGCGAGGGTCGTACTTCGTGTTGGCGTTCGGCAGCCTCGTAAGGAAATTTTATTTCGTAATTTCGCTCGGACAGCGTCGCGTCGAGTCGCGTGGCAAGTCTCGTGTGGAACGAGAGGGAAAAAGCGACCAGACAGGAAACAGCTTCTTGAAGAAGTGACGCGTTCATTATCCCGACGACGTGAAAGGCAGCCGTCGCTCATCGGCGGCGGCAATCTCCGGAAGGAAATCGCGTAATCGCGGGACTGAGCGTCGCGGAACGCTTCCGGGGGAGATCGCGATCCGCTTTCTCAGACGACCGCGAAATTTGATTTTAAGTGACAGCCGTGGCGGGCCCGGCGTGCGCGATAGCGCAGGCGAAACGAATCCCTTCGATCCGCCGGATTATCCGGACGACGCGGAGGCGCACGTCGCGCGTTCTAGCCGGCAGTGCGAGCTTTTAACTTGCAAATATCGTCCGGATTGCAAATCGACGTCCTCCCGTTGCCCCGCCCGCCTGCCCGCTCCTGTCCTGTCTCTGCCTTTACCTTCATTCGCTGATGTCGAGAATGGAAAGCTCGCTACAGAGGCTGGTGGAAGAGAACGGGAGAGAAAGAGAAAAGGGGGGCAAAGGGAGAGAGGGCGCACGCCAAGAGGCAACGATCCCTTTTCCGGCTGATCCAGCTCTCATGAATTTCTCGGCGTGCACTTAGAGCCACTTCCGGTTACTTCCCTGACGTTCATCCGCGCCCGAGATACTACGGCCGACAGAGAGAAAGTGAGAGAGGGTGCATGACGGGGGGGGGGGGGGGTATCTCGAAAAAGGCGTAGACTCCCGCCGAGTCGGTGGCAGGGAGAGCGTTTGCGAGGGAGTTCGACGTCGATTTTGTCTTAGCGAAATTGCGACGTCCGCGAGGGTCGGGATGCGGAGTGGCGTCTTCTTGTAGTAGGGAGATTGTGGTAGCCCGGGAAAATATCTTCCGGGATCTCGAGTCCGCTCGGATCCACAGATTAGAGAGAGAGAGAGAGAGAGAGAGAGAGAGAGAGAGAGAGAGAGACGTTGAACGAGTGTTGGGAAATATTTAGATCATCGCGAAAATCTCGACAAGGGTCTCGTTAAATAAGAAAGCAACGGAAGAAAGAAACGCGTCGTGTATTCGTTAATTAAAAAACGAATATTTCCTAATCGGATACGCGACGGCGACAAAAGGCGGTTGCGACGTGGTTGCAGTGTAATTCGTTCCCTTTAGAAATGTCTTTCATCTTTAGCGGAGGGAGAGGGAAGGAGAGTCAGAAAGGAAGGAAAATTTTCTGCGAGAATAAATGAAAAATTCGGGTCGCCGCAGACAGCTTGCGTAAACACGGTTTCAAGCAGCTGTCGGCTTTAAGGCGCGGGGAGCTTTTTAATTTTACTGCGAAATAAAGAGGAGCTCTCAGGCACTCAGCGATCGGCCCCGATAAAGGTCCCCGGTGCCTGCGATACGCCCGTGCAATTAATTTTTTAACCGCGAGCGCGTCGGGGTTTTCGACAGTCGGCTGTCAGCCAGAAATAACAATTAGCCGCGCGCAAAGCCGCGCCGCGAGAGTTTTATTTGCGCGACGAACGACGGCGAATAAATTAATTACAAATGTATGGGCCGTAACAGAGGATAAATCAGGTCGCTCGAACAGTAAAAGGAAACACGTACGAGAGATGCGATCGGTGGAGAGAAAGAAAGCCTCAGAGACTAATTTATTTGATCTCCTCTACCGAGACCGAAGTATTCGCGAAAGATTTGCGTCCCGCTCGCTCGATCAGACTGCTCGGCGACCGCGATTACTAAAATTAAAAGCGAGCCGCCAATTTCGAGAACAAATTCGAGATGCGAATTTCAGAGCTCCCAGAGGTCTGTGCATTATTTCAGAGGTAGAAAACCTAAAAGATGCAAGGATCTGGAGAGAGAGAGAGAGAGAGAGAGAGAGAGAGAGAGAGAGAGAGAGAGAGAGAGAGAGAGAGAGAGAGAGAGAGAAAGGTTCCCTTTAATGTTTCTTTAAATAACCCTCGATGTCATAAACACACCGGGTCGAGGCAATATTTAAGCCGATAATTAAAGCAGGCTCGCGCCAGATAGCCAGTATAGCTCGCGAAATATTTAAACTAATACCTTAAATAATTCTCTCACTTCCCTGCCCTCCCGGCCCCTCTCTCTCTCTCTCAAATATGGATGTGAAACGGGCGGCAAGGTAGAGCAGAAGGGCGGCGCGGCTGCGAGAGGGAGAGTCGTTTCGCGGCGATATCGCGAATAAAATTGAATTTTATGTCGCAGCGCCGACACCGTTTCGCGGTGTCCTCCTCTTCCGGGAGTGCTTTATCATTTCATCAGCGCACGAGTACCGTTTCGTGCGGCGCGGCGCGGCGCGGCGCGGCACCGAGGAGAGGAGAGGCGAGGCGAGGCGAGGCGAGCAGAGAGAACGCGTACGCAATGTACGCCGGGAGTATAAAGCACGAAAGCGCTGTAAAACATATCTCGCGACGATAAATTAGTGCGCGGGGGCGCGCACGCTGCGTGGGTGCTTAATGCAAATCAGGCGAGACGGGGAAAAAACGCGGAGAAGAAGAAAGAGGAGAAGCGCGCGCGTATGTCCGACAGGCGGCTCCGTCGCGCCGCGTGTGTGATTCGCGACGTATTTCTCTCCTCCGCCGCGCGCTTATCGTATTTTCGCGGCCGGTGGCGGTTATTAATTATTTTCCTTTGCCCCCCCCCTCTCTCTCCCCGCACGGTCTCATGCAAATTGGTTGCGTCGTGTCGCGTCGCGACAGAACTCGCGCCGTCGCCCTCGTTCTCGTGCTCGTTCCTCCTTCTCGCTTTTCGCGTCGCGATTCCGTGTGTCTCGTTAATCGATATTCAAACGACCGAGGGAGAGGGAAAGAGGGGGGGGGGCAGATGCCGCGATGTGCGATCGAACCGAAAAGTTCGAACGGCCTGACGGACGACCGTCGACGCGACCGTGTTCCATTCCGTTCGGCCATGCGATAATGTCGCGCCGCGCGCCGTAGGAAAGCGCCGTTGCTTCTGATTAAGGGCGATTTAGCCTTTGTTTGCGATCATTAATATATACACCGGTGCGTACTGGATGAGCCTCGGCCGCTGGTCCCTTCCTTCCCGCCCCCTCGACCGAGTCAATATTGGTACGCACGTCTGTGCGCGCGGTAAATAACGGGCGGCGATATTAGCGATCGATGCGGCGCCGTAACTACCGGCAATTAGCGAATCGGCATTAGCGCACCTGTTTCGGCCGTGCTTTTATGATAATCCATTCGTAAATTAATTAATACCGCCGCCTCGCGACCTATCGCCTGCCGCTTCTGCCGCTTTGGAACCACGAAGGCATTAAATCGGATCGTCACCCCCTCCGTGTCCCCTTTAGCCAAGCTTCAGCCGGCGCGTTAGCAATCCGTTAGAATTCGGATTAATCGACGACGAACTCTCTCCAGCGAAGAGAGACGCGACGCGACGCGACGCGACGCGTGCGATCGGTTGCGTGTGACGTCACGCCGCGAATCACCGCGCCGCGACGTCGCGACGGGCAAAGGACGCGAGGAGCGGAAGGGAGCCCTTTTCGTCCTTTTACCCTCTGTGCCGCGTGCAGAGAGCGTTTGTTTATAGTGATCGAACGTTAATTTATTAACGAGCGGACGTAGTAATTAAAGCCAACATCCCGTATCGCGCTGCTGAATGATTGAAGCGACTCGATGGATATTGAAGCGTAATTAGCTGTATCGGAGATTTCGCGTAATTGCGTTCGTGGACGCAGGAAATCGACACGACGCGACGCGACGCGACGCCGGCTGATCGGATAGACTCTGGCTCGCGAATTGCGACGCGATAGCGCGATAGATCTGCCGTGCCCCATCGGCTCCGTTGCAATTATTAATTTTAGAGTGATGAACACGAGCGCGGCCGCGCTTCTCCCCGAATCGCCGAGCTCGTAAGTCAGCGCGGCGTTCTCCCGACGCGGATCCGATTCGACGGCGGGATGAATTCGCGCCTGAGCGTAAACCGAAGAGCGTTGTATGCTGCATCGCGATTGAATTCTTGCGGAAGGAGTCTCGCGCGCCGTCGTCGGCGGATTTGGAAAACTCGCTGAAAACGTGCAAGAGAAAAACTTGTCTCGTCAGATGTTGCAACTAATAGAATGATACAAACGTAAAATAATTGTATTACGTTACGTATTACGGCGCTACGATATTGCGATAAGAAAAATGTAATATTTCAATCGTATAAGAGATCATTATTTCTTCGAGAGACGAATATTTTTCCATAAAGTTTCCATAAAGAGCCGCTGGCAGAATATTAGTCACGCGTACGTTAAGAGACGGCGACGTTCGCTAAATTTTCGCTATAATAGTCCTGCAGCGAATTTCAGAGACACGAGGCACAGCTGGGGATATGGGAGCGAGATATTGTTTGGATGATCGTCAGCTTCCGAGCGTTTGCCGTTACGAAATTCTCGCGCGACACGCCCGGTCTTCGCCTCGTCAATTCGCACTCGGTGCGCGAACGCGGCTCATCAATATTCATTGTTATTTCTCCGTTTCGGAAATGGAGAGGCGAATTAGATTGCCTTCACTGAACCTGGTCGCTCGCTCGGCCGGCTGGTCAGCCGGCTGAGAAACGTTTCCGAAAAAGAAGTCCTCGAACTCCGATATCGAATTCCCCGTGAAACGTCTGGACGCAGGTTCTGGAAACTTAATCGCGCGGGGGTGGGCGGCGCGCAAGTGGCTTTCGGAATAATATGTATCATATGGCGAGCACGATCGCGGATTCCGTAGTCAACCTTGCGTGGGGGCCACACACGCGCACACACACACACACACACACACATACGTGCACGAGGAGGTCGTGTCGCGATGGGAAAACGCCGAGAAGCAGTACCCCGCGCCACGCATCGCTGCTCCATATTCTTTCGCTCCGCAGAATTCTCCCGCGGGATATCGAACGCTATCGGTTTCCGGGTGCTCGCGTTTCGCGGCATACGCGATGTGTGTGTGTGTGTGTGTGTGTGTGTGTGTGTGTGCGCGCGCGGAGAGACGCGGTAATATCCGATTATCCTCATTTTTACGAGCGCGGTTTTCACTTTGAGAGAGAGAGAGAGAGAGAGAGAGAGAGAGAGAGAGGGAGGGACGGGAGGGGAAAGAATGAGAGCGAGGAGAGGAACAAAACCGCGATGGAAATGATCGGAGTGAAAATATCTCGCAAGAATATCGAAGATATTTTTCCATTACTGCGATAAGCTGTTCCTCGCGGACGGGGAGGAGGAGCGAAGTCGAATACATTTCGCTCGGAAATCGCGAGACTCGATGTTCGCTCGCGAGAATATTCAGCGACCGCGACCGCGACGGCCGACATATTTTCCGGCCGAAACATTCGCGCGATGCAATTTGGCCGGAATTCTCTCCCGGCTGCTCCCCCGCCTCCCCTGGCCTCTTTCCGCGATCGCGTTAGACGCAATCGGCCGCCTATGATTTTTCATCGCGGGATGTGTTAGACGTGACTCGCGCCGCCCGGCAGCCTATAAATTCCCCTGCGCATATAGATAACCAGCAAATCTGCAAACAATGTTGCAAAGCCAATAAACTTGTTCGAATCCATTCGAGAGCGATTTGGAAAGGAATTTATCGGTTTTGCGCGAGAATTATTCCAACACGCTCTTCCATTTTCCCTCTCTTTTCTCTCTCTCTCTCTCTCTCTCTCTCGTACGCTCATCGCGATCGGTGCGTGCATGCATCGTATGTGCGTCCCTCCGCCCCCCCTCCTTTTCGACACTTTGCAACGCGTGTCGGCCGAATATTTTTCCATTACGCACGCACGCCGGCGATTCGTGCCGTTAATAACGATAAGATTAATGCAAGCTCAATACAACAACACGTCGTATGAACGCGTGTACAGACATACACATATGCGCGCGCGAGCATGACGCGCTCAAGCATGACGCGCGTGAGCGATCGACTTGATTCTCCCGTTGATTTAGCCGGCGCATCGCTATCACGATATCCGCGCGGTAATTGAGTTCTCGCGTGCGCTAACGAGACGTTTCGGGCACAGCTGGAAAAACCGAAGTGCGCGCGACAGCAGATTGGCGAAAAGTGATAACGACATCGCGCGTGGCTGATTCTCATTATTGAACGATGTGTGTGTGTGTGTGCGTCTACGGGATGAACGCGCGGCCTGCTCGAGCGAGCTGCTCGCCGAAGCGATCTCGCAACGAATAATTAGCCGGCTAGCCAGCTGTGTGATTGCGCGAATACATAAAAGACCCTCTCTCTCTCTCTCTCTCTCTCTCTCCCTCTTCTTCCTCGAGAAAGGGGCGCAGAATCGAAGCATTGAGCAATTTCGCGTGAGTGAAGACGTTCCTCCTCCCGGCTTGTACGGCTGTAAAAATAAGCAAGCGGGAAAAGCGAAGTGAGGGAGAGAGCGAAACGGCGGAAAATTGCCGAGAGCTTTTTGTTATTCCGACGAAAAGTTCCGCCATGCTGATTGGATGATAATGAGTCTGCGAGAAGTGCGAAAACGAACCAACCGGCGACATGCCCGCCGCCGACGACGACGACGACGACGACGACGACGACGACGCAACTCCGAGAGCGAGCAAAGTTTAAAAGCGGAACAGCCCCGGCGCGTTGTTATGACGTAGTCAACTGTCTCTCTCGCTCGCTCGCTCGCTCGCTCGCTCTCTTCCCGCCCGTGGAACTTTTATCTTCCAATCCACTTAATCCGAGGAAGCCGAGTTTCCTTATCGCGCCCGTCCAGGTGAGTTCGCTTTCGTTCGGCTGTCCCGTCGTCGTCGTCGTCGACGTCGACGTCGACGTCGCCGTCGCCGTCGCTCGGAGGGAAACTCGCGCCTGCGAAATGCGCAATTATCGCGGCGCGCATCGTCGTCGTCGACACCGACGAAACGGCAGAAATCCATTCCGCCCCGGCTGTCGAACCTTTCCGCGCACTTTTGCATGGGCGAACTCGCGATTCCCGGTATACCGGGTGACGCATGCGAATCGCGCCGTCCGCGAGCGGAAACGTTCGCGGAAGCGGACTTCAAGCGTCTCCTGATTGCCCCGAGTGAAATCCCACGCGGGCCAACGTTGAATTTCGGGTCCGACTCGGGCGCACTCGCGCACTCGCGCACTACTCGCCCGACCATCCCGCGGCAAGAATGGAAATCTCTTTGGCGCTCGATTACTAAAGCTATTGGCGGAGACCGGGATTTATTGACGCTATCGATTGCCGCGCGCTCGCCGCCCGGCGTGTTGCTGCGCTGGAAATGTTGGCTCGCGTTCGTTTCACGCTCGTTATACGTTCCAACATCGAAGAACGCACTGAAAGCGAGGTGCAAATGGATGCATATAGAGTTTGCGAACAGTTTACGCACATACAGCGGGGAGGGGGGGGGGGAGAGAGAGATAGAAAGAAACAAAGACCGAGATAGATACATATACAACAAGAGAGGGAGAGATAAAGAGAAGGGGTGGGGAAAGCACTGAAAGCTGTATGAATCTGTATAATTACCCCGGCGTGTTGCCTCCCAATCGATGGTTTCTTTGGAAAGAACAGAAAGAAGCGTTCGGTTAATCAAACGTGACACGTATACACAGTATCACCTACCTACACCAGTGCGCGCGCTCCAAGAATTACGCGGAGGAAGATTTACTTGAAACAAAGCGACACGTCTGTCATCCGCTACGTCAGAGAGAAAAAGACCTTCGAGCGATACTGCGGTGTTATTGAATCTCGCTCATTGTGCCATTAGCGGGCTTATCTTACGCTCGAAGGTCGAATGAGATGTGTATGTACTGTGCGAGAGCCGCGCTTCAGCGACAAGAGATAGGCGCGAGTAAAAAAACGGGGACGAGCGAGATACTGCGAATAATGAAAATCTAAGGCTCGGTGCGGTGACAAAACGGCGGCCGCAGTTGAAACTCGTCTGGCGTGAGGCAAGTTTCCGGCGACGACTGTGAGCCAATTAGCGGCCAAAGTCTCACTCAGGGGACACTTTTTTTCTTATCGAATAAAATCGCTTGATCGATGCACGTGTGCAATTTTATTCTTTCATCTCCCGCATCCCTCCCCCCCCCCCGATTTCCGCTTATATCTCCGATAAAAATAAACTTAGGACCAATCTAAAACACGCATCTCGAGGATTGATTCTCTGATAAAAAAAATGGTAAATATATAGAAAAGGTACACCTCAGCGATTTTTTTCATTTTGAAATATGTTACAAAGGATGAAATTCTGAGTGACTTTTCCTAATACAATTGTATGGGGGTCGCTTATAGTTTCCGAGATATCTGATTTTAAAGTTTTGGAATTTTGATTATCCTGAAATTAAATTCCAGATATCATAAGCTGACGTTATTTACAGTACAATCCAAACAGTTAATCCAAACATAGTGTATACATAGAAATATAGGAAACAGTACATATAAGCGGGAGAGGGGCTCCGCCCCTCCTACGCACCCCCTCCTCAAAAAAATCCTAACCTAACTTAACTTATTGCATCTTTATATATTGTTGGGCGAAGTTGACAAGATCTTCTTAAAAGCCACAACACCTAATTATATGCAGATATTATGATAAGTTAAGTTGAGCCAGGTGATAGATCTTAAGAGAACTTTTTTCAACAATGTCCAAAAATATATAAAGATGCAATAAGTTAGGTTAGGTTAGGATTTGTTTGGGGAGGGGGCGAAGCCCCTCTCCCGCTTATATGTACTGTTTCCTATATTTAAAGTGAATGAAAACTGCTTGTCTACTTCAAATATACTTCGACGTACAATTATAAAACTTTAAAGTCAAATATCTCAGAAACTATAAACGACCCTCACATAATTGTATTAGGAAAAGTCACTCGGAATTTCATTCTTTATAACATATTTCAAAATGAAAAAAATCGGTGAGGTGCACCCTTTTCTATATATTTACCAAAAAAATGCCCGCGAAACAATCGCGGCTTCAACGAGTGTCCAACTCTCTCGCTTGTTATCTCGGCCAATAAGCCACGAAGAGAGATGACTCCTCTGCTAAACGGAATTCGGGCGAGAATCTCTCGATGAGAATGTCGCGCATAGTTCGATCACCGCCATTACATAGTTACGAAGACTTGATCGCGCGTGCATGTCGGGTGAATGATGAGAGAAAAATCGACTCACCTGAGTGACGCTCTTGTCTTTGATCTTCTCGAGGGGTAATCGTTCCTTGACGTAGTGCAGGCTGAGGATCTCCTTGACGCGCTTCTTGTCCTGCAGGATCTGCTTCACGCCCGGCTCCTCCAGCGCGGCGTTGCTGGGCGCGAAGAGGGTTACGTCGCGCAGGTGACTAATGGTGTTCATGATGTCGTCCCCGAAATCGCGGATGGTCTCGTAAAACTTGTACACCGGCCCGTCCTCCTTTTCCTACACGGAGAGAAGAGATTTCTGTCGATCGGTCACGCAGTGCTCGCCGCGCCGCGCCTCGCCGCCAGCGAGGGGCCGTCGACGTGAAAGACGAGACACAAACGAGAGAAAAGCGAAAGAAAACGTAGAGAATGAAAGAGGCGTGGAACGGCGACGGCAAAGGAGAGGACGCGAAAACGCGGCGTTCGGGAGACGGAGGGGGGGGGAGAGGGGTGGACAAAACGAACGTAGAGCAAAAAACGACTATGGTTGCGTCATGACGACGGCGGGCGTCAATGGCGTCCGGGTTCGGCCGAAGGCATCAACGCATTGAATATTCCATTACGCGTTAATCAGCCGCGACAGGAGGGAAACTCTTCCGCTTCTCGCGGTGATTAAGGCGTAACGGAATTTGTTGCGTGAGCTGCGTTCGTCCGAATCCGGACGTTATTGACTCACCGCAACGAAACACGGAAAGAAAGAAAAATAAAGGGAGCACTCTGGCGGGAAGCGGACGGGGGGACGGGGTGAACACGGGATGCGAAAAAGTTGGACGATTAAAGAGGAGCAAGCTCGCGAGGCGAGCCACCGAGTTTCGCGTTGCGTCGTCGCCTCGGCAGGTGTTTTCGCGAATGCCGGGAAATTGATTCTCATAAACGACGACTTCACTATTTTTGGCGAGTCAGCCGCGTCGGAGAACTCGCGATTGCGAGTTGTTCAAAGTGAAATGATTCGTCGCTCGAAATCCAGATCGAGAGTTCGAGCGAGCAACGTTGAGACCGTCAGGCGATGATGCGATGGACGCGAGAGAGAGAGAGAGAGAGAGAGAGAGAGAGAGAGAGGAAGAGAGAGAGACTCGTCCAATTTGAGGAAATAAAAGTTCCCCCGACGGAGGTGACAATCCACCGTCGGGAGGTTAAGAGATTCTCCGCGGAAAGGGAGAAGAAAAGGGAGGGAGAAAGGGAGAGACGGAGAGGAGCCACCCCTGAAAAGCAAAATACTTGAAATTCAGTTGGCTCGGCCGCGAGAATGGAACCGTCGCAATTAAGCCCGGACGTAACGAACTCGAAGCTCCGTGTAACTCGCGCCGCGAGCAAGAGACGAAATGAATTACTCACAGACGTAGGAGACAAGGTGCGAGGGAAAAGAAAGTGTGACTGGGACGTGACCGTTAGTGGTCCATGGAAGCGGCAACGCTACGTGACACACATAATTCACGTTCTTCCTTGGGAGCGCGAGAGTGCCGATTGCGCTTCTTGCACGGGTCCGAAGGGAGGAACGTCACGCGGCATCATGAAATTTTCGGGAGCTATTCTAAAAAATGTACACGGGAGGGAGGAGGAAGAGGGATAGAGCGAGAGGGAGAGAGCGAGAGGGAGGGAGGGAGGGAGAGAGAGAGAGAGAGAGAGAGAGAGAGAGAGAGAGAGAGAGAGGCGCAATCTCGAAATAATTGGTTCTCCGGGATAATCACGAGTCGGGAGTAGCGGGATACACGATGTGTAACTTGATGCGCGTAACTCGATGCGCGGCGGAATTAGGAAAGTTAATCTCGCCGGATATTAATTTCACAGAATTAATTCTGCCTGATTAACCCCGTCTGAATGCTTCACTCGCCCGAATGTCGGGCTTCCGATACGCAGGTCACGCGCGATTTTCCGCAAGGATACCGCGCGCAAGGATACCGAGGACGGCAGTGACGAACGACGATACGACGCGAGGTCTGCGACGTGTCGACGCCAAGCGCGTCGGAAGCACCGAAGTATGAAGAGACACACACTTGCTGAGATAGCGAGTGCTCTTTTCCGAGAATCTCTCTCTCTCTCTCTCTCTCTCTCTCTCTCTCTCTCTCTCTCTCTCTCTCTCTCTCTCTCTCTCTCTCGGTGAGAGCAGCGCGAGAAAGGTCTTACGTGTCGCTCTATTGTCGCACGACTCAACTCGCCGCGACAATACCGCGCGGGAGATCACGGTGGATTTTGGAAATTCCTCGTAGTTAGGAGCAAGGAATTAACGCGAGAGTTCAAACGGACAGTACCGTTCGGTCGGATTGCACCGCGGACGGAAAGAATGAGAAAAAAAGGGAAATAAAAGAAGGGAAACGGAGGAAAAGCGAGGCGGAAAGGTAATTAACGGGGCCGCGGTTAGATATTCACGACGCCCGCAGCTTCGACGTGGTTCTCGGTGTTTATGGACGGGCTTAATGAGAGGGACCGGGCGAAAAAGAGCGCGAAAAGGAGATCTTTGTGCGCGAAATAGGTAGTCAGGTCGAGGCGGAAGTGCGAAAACGACGCGGCTGCACGAAACACGACCGTCTAAGAGTCGGAAAAATTATTTTCCCGCCTTTTTCTCGATTCGCGCGATTCAGCGATGTGAAAGACGAAGACAGCGAGAGGAAGACAAGTATAGAGAGAAAGAGAGAGAGAGAGAGAGAGAGAGAGAGAGAGAGAGAGAGAGAGAGAGGGAAAGGAAGAAAGACGAGTTTCTCAGATTTTCCGCGTTCAGACCAAAGAGCGTGTAATTTTCTGCATCGACGCGGAAAGTCGCGCGATCATTATAACGTCGAGAAGGAGGAGCGAAGTCAAAGGGAATACTTGAAAATGTACACTGACGTCCATTAGTTTCGATACATCTTATAATTTTTTGTTCGACGACGTTCCGCTCCCCCTCCTCCCTCTCTCTCTTTCTCTTTCTTCTCGGTTTTCAAAGAGAAGCTCCACTCAGATTCTCGCGCGAAGCGGAAAATCGTGGCGGTTCCGCTCTCGCCGAGACGAGGAACCCTTCGTCTTTTGCAATTTGCTCAGACTCCGCGTTTCGGTCCGCTAACGAACCGGCACGGCGCGGCGCGGCGGCGAATTCTTCGTATATCGCGGTGTCGTAATTAACGGAGCGGGAGAAGGCCGCGTGCGCGGAAAAACCCGCCGCGCTCCGATCGTCGCATTTCCGCCGGCACGCGCGCGCCAGTGGCAGTGCCAAATTACACACACGCGTACACGATACCCGGAGACACCCGGCCGGGGTAATATTACTAAAAGAACGGGATTCATGCAGCCCCGGGTTAGAACAACATCGGGGCGGGCTTGCGCGCAGGAAAAATCTACGGAAGTCATTTCCCCCGTTCTCCCATTGCCGCCGAATGCCGCCGGCATTTCCCTCGTGGCACAAATCTCTCTCTTTTGCCGCGCCTCCTCATCCTCCTGCGCCTCCTCTACCACCGATTTATTTCGCCTTCCTATCCGCTCTCCCTTTCGTTCTTTTTGCTCGTTCCTCGTTAATCTCTCTTTTGCAGGTTCGAGGCTTTGGCCGATGGGAAAGCCGGCAAGTAACGAAAAGGGGGATTAACTAGGCATCCAAGGCGTTGCGCGGGAGAGGAGAAAAATATTGACAGAGAACTAGAGAAAAAAACACAGAGAGAGAGAGAGAGAGAGAGAGAGAGAGAGAGAGAGAGAGAGAGATGGCGGAAGGAAAGGAGGAGGAGGAGGAGGAGGAAGAAGAAGAAAGGCGAGGCAAGGGAGTGATACAGGAAGAGACGCTCGGGGCTGGCAAAATCGTAACGAAAGTCGATCCGCGGTCGTTAGTCGAGGCTATCTCCGAACGGCCGAGAGAAGGATGGGGCGGAGAGAAGGAGGGGGTGGGGATGGCGAGTTTAATAACGATACATTGCTACTGCTAGGGTGGACGAGGGAGAGGGCTTGCCTACGCCGGGATAAATTAATAAAAATGTACGCGGGCGAGAGCGTTCGCGCGTTCGGGCCTCGCCCGTAGCGGAAGATCAAGAGGAGAAGAAGAGAGCTCTTTTCTTGCTTTCTCTCACTCTCCCTTTTTCTCTTTCCTCCGGCGACTTGAAATAGTATCGATCGGCGAAGGCTCGTTCTTCCGCTCTCGCTGTACCCGCGTCGTCAGCTCTGCGTTCTTTTGTATTCAGAGCATCGAGCCGTGAAGTTGTATACGTGTCAGCGAGGGGTTTTCGTTCCGGAGCGGAAATACATCTCGGCGCGCGCACGCTCGCGAGATTCTCGATAATGGCCGGCGACATTTTTGCGGGGAATCTCTCCAATTATATCCGGCATTTTTCAGTCGTCCCCATTGGCCCGATTTCGCGAGAGATTCGAGCGGTTCGGGAATATCGCGCACGATCACGCTTGGCCGTTCCCGATCGACTTCGAAATTCGCGTCTGCCGCCGATCCTGTCAGCGCCGCCTTGGCCTCGTTTTGCTCCGATGGCGCCTTGGCGCCTTGTCCCGCTCTTTGTCATCTTATTCCGTCTGCCTTATTTATCCCGGCTCGCTGCCGGGCTTTATCGCGGCGATATTGCCTTTATTTCACTCGGACTTTGCCTTTATTTCACTCGGACTTGCGTCGCGTTTTAGAACGGATCAGCGGAACGAGATTTCCTCGATCGTATTTTCATGTAAATGGCCGGACGTCGTCGTCGTACGACGTCCGCACGTGAGGGAGAGAGAAAGAGAGAGAAAGAGAAAGAGAGAGGAGAGAGAGGGGGAGAAAGAGAGAGAGAGAGAGAGAGAGGGAGAGAGAGAGAGAGAGAGGAGAGAGAAAGAGATAGAGTGAGAGAGAGAGAGAGAGAGAGAGAGAGAGAGAGAGAAAGAGAAAGAAATCGCAGCTTCTTCTACTACACTTGTGTACAAGGATCTAAATATTCAAGGATCAAACGATTCGCAATATCCCCGGACGCCGGAATCCGAGGACTCTGTCGATCCCCGTGCCCCGTGCCCTAATCCTTGGGATCCGCGGGATCTCCCAAGGGAGCCGGGGTCGACCGGGGGTCTTCGGTTTGCGGAAATTTCAGCGTCCAGGCCGGTCGAACTACGACTCGCGAATCTAAGAGCCAAAGAGCCGCACATTTCCGACGGAGGAGAATTTCCACCGGAAAATCCGCGCGCGTCCATGGGTCGGTGGACTCGCGCGGGCGCCATTATTATCGGGTCCATCCGACGCTCGGACGGCCAGATCGGAGTCTGAAGAGAGTGTCGTGTGTATATATTCGTAGTTCACTGATGAGTTCATTTAGTATAAGTACTTACGATGCCCTATACGACATGCAGAGTCCAATAGAGACATGCAAAGCACCACAGAATAACATCATTGAGTCAATATAAGAATAGTAAACACATGTACACAATTGATCAAGTAGTTAAAAACAAAAAGGAATTAAAAAACGTGATACATAGTGAGATAGAGAGAGAGAGAGAGAGAGAGAGAGAGAGAGAGAGAGAAAGAGAGAGAGGGGGGGAGAAAGAGAGAGAAGGAGAGAGAGAGAGAGAGAGAGAGAGAGAGAGAGAGAGAGAGAGAGAGAGAGAGAGATGTTACCCGACACATATTAAACGTACAAAGAGGGAGATCACGCGCGCAAAGAGACTTCCTCTTCACTGGTACGTTCGTTCGTTCTTTCTGGTATTGTTTTCTTTCATCTTTTTTTTTTCTGGTTCATCTCGGGACAACGAGGAGGAGGTTCTTCTCCGAGAGAGAGAATCGATCTTCCGTCTTGCGCCCGTTTTTCCCGGGGATTTCGTCGAAAGTGCGCGTTCTCCGTCAGAGGAGGCCAAGATCGCGTTGTCACTTTTATACTTTTGCTATCGTCACTATCAATTACATTAATATCCTCGACTGGACTCGGGGTTCATTAATCGTAAATTTGACAAACACACAGCTCATATGCACACTCAATTGCGTGTATACGCGCGCACATCCGCAACCACCCGCAATCGTTCGCAAGACAGTTACTCCTTTTTCTCCCCGCGACCGACGAGCAACAGAGCGATGGGGGCGGCGAGGGGGAGGGAGATGGAGCGGAAAGCGCGCGCGCGTAGAGTTAATTAGTCGGCGATTAGAACGATCAGTCATTCGCGATCGCGATTAATGGGGTGCGATTTGAGCGCGGCTCAGCGTCGCGCGGGAGAGCGACGCGCGCGATTTTTCGACGGAGCGTCCTCCGGCGTATTGTAAATTACAAGAGTCGAGATTATCAGGCGGTAATTAATAGGAGCGCGCGTTCGCTCGCGCTCGTCGCGGAAATTTAGTACGCTCAATGCACCCGGACGGGCAATTACGATAAACGTCATTTCGCATGAAAACGCGACGGTATCGCGACGCGCCGCCGCGATATCGCCACGTGAGTAATGGCCGCGAAAGACGGCCCTCCGCGAGAGCTTCGCGTTTCGCCGTGGCGGGAGAAAATTTCGACTCGACCGGGTCGCGTTCGCTAATTGTGATCAATGGGCCCGCGAGGATTTCCATCGAGAGAGCGTTCTCCTCTCTCTCTCTCTCTCTCTCTCTCTCTCTCTCTCTCTCTCTCTCTCTCTCTCTCTCTCTCCCCCTCCTTCTCTCTCCCTCTCTCTCTCTCTCTCT